TATGCCGTCTATATATGGATGAATTCAGAAGATATGTGGTTTGAAGACGGCTATGTTCTGGGTTATTACGTCTGATAGAAATTTACCGACGTTTTAGAGGTGCTTTCTGCCTCCACAATCATTGCGAGGCAAGGGACGTCTCTGAAACGGTCGGTAAATATCTACCAGATTACGAGGCACGCAACATACCAGAAGATGATCATTTTTAATGTCGGACTTGTCACTCTGCCACTTGGAGTTAAATGTAGCGAGCACTTAGACTATTTACCTGCATGCATATTTAGTAGTATCTTATTTTGCAACATTTTCATGCCAGTTACATGTTATGTTGTGTCTCTGACAGTTAAAAATTGTATGTTGGTTTACTTATCTTAGAAGAAAGATGAAGAAGCTGTAACTAAAAGAAACGTAATGTTATGAACTAATGCAATGCCTCTCCACTGTTCTTTTGTTCCGATTTCAACACAAAGTTTGTCCAAACGACCATCAGCGCTTAAAGGTCTATTTATATAGGAACGTAAAGATAACGACACGAGCCCTTGCCGATTTTTCAGAAAATATTATTCAACGTTTTTCAATGGAACAGTTTAGGAAAAATATCGTTGGAGACGTAAGTTGGGCGAGACTCGTTCGTGGAACGGACGACCTCGGAGTCAATATAAACAGTTCCATTGAAAAACGTTGAATAATATCTTTACGTTCTTATATAAATAGACCATAATGTCATGTCGTTACGATCCAGAAATGTGGACACTATTGGACGCAAAGGGTCAGGTTCTTTTTGTTCTGAATCTGCAAATTAATGTAGACTCACTCTTCTGGTATGCAAGACAAGTATTATGGGTGTAACAGTTAGGAGTCGAATTGAAGTTAAATAGGTCCTATTAAGTAATCAACTAACTACGTAGAGCAGAATCTGTCTCGGGAAAGTTGTACCGGTGAGTCTTCACCTCGTCAAGAAATTTCCCGCTTTACATCTAACTCGAATATTTATTACCGATTCAAATTATCCCGGCACTGGACTGAGTTCTAAACCGGGTGAAATGAGGCCACATTTCCACATTCTGTTCACGATCCACTTTAGTATTATCCTACAATCTATGGCTGGGGACTCGAACTTATCTCTTGCTTTCACGATTTCCGACTATTATTCTGTATAGAGGCCACTGAAAGTTAAAGTTCATTCCAAGGTTATATTTTATCATGCTTATTTCTGCCGAACTGTAGGTTTCTGAATGGCTATAGTCGTGTCAAGTTGAGGTCACGATTAGGTCAAGGTCACGACTATATAAGCCCAGTGGTTTGCCGAATACAGACCTTTAAAGTAATACATATTTTGAATTGACGGGCGATGGAGAGGGGCTTTATCACATTTTGAATATAAACTTACTTTTCACCATTTATTTGATTGGAAGCCACACGCGAAATTACGAATGATCGAATTTTTCTCTTCTAATTAGAGATAACCACAGTGAAATAAATACATCGATTTATATCGAACGTCGTATTACCTAAATTGTATAAATCGGTATGACGTCACAGCTTTATTCATAGCACATCTCGTGCGATTCTAAAGCATTCTTGAAAGATGACGTGAAGCCATGACGTGACACCGAAAAATATATTCTTCAGGATTATAATGCTTCATGCCACTTGACATGTGACAAGGGGGAGAACAGTCTCACTAACAAGGCGACACTCTGTGGTAAGGAATGGGAACATGTGTAATATATCTTAAAATCCAGTTTTATTCCTCTGCTTCTCCGTCGTTGGTTTTGTTAAATTAATTATTGTATCCTTTTGTTATGAATAATCATGATTTTGTAGTTAGTCTCGTTATAGGCACTTACAGTTTCCACTTTAAAAAGTTGCGATGTGATTGTAATTCCAAGCTTTGTCTTTGAAGATTCGAGTTTCGCATACAATTTGCGTTTTGCACGTGACGAATCTAGTTCTCTGACGGGCTGATGGTTTTTTCCTCGACCCATAGAATTTTTATGAAGTTTATCTTCAAATATTCTATGTCAAGACCGCTGTATTTTCATGCATAAAATATAACTTGAAAAAGTTTATTCATGTAATGATTTAAACATGTAGACTCTATATGGTCCATTTTAGTTACAAAAATGCTTCCATTAGCTTCACTGTCTGTCTGTCTGTCTGTCATGTAAGACTTCTATAACTGCTGAACGAATTTCCATTAAATTAGATACTAGAGAATTCCATTACTATTTCTTGTTATATTCCAATATTGGTTAAAACTAGCGAATTGTAACGAAACTTTTTATGAAGGCTTAGTGCACTTACATCGAGCGGAACTTGCTAAATAGTATTTATCATAACGAAAATGTTTGGTGTAGAAGCCGTAGAGAAAAATTAAACACGCGTATTGTATCCAAAAAAGTTTTCCCCTAAATCTTTAGTTTTTGCGTGATTAGAAATTAGCATTAACTAACTCATAATCTAGAGACAGCGAAAGAGCGAACAAACCAAAATTTTTATGCTAACTTCATCTTTTAGGTGCATTACGTAGCGCATTGTTTATAATCTGAGGCCTGTACTTAATTAGTCATTAATTATAGTAATCAGGCACAATTTATTTTCAGGAAATAGGTTGGACCCCCAAAAATATCTGACAGAACCCAGTTCATTCCAAAAAATTGTGAGAATTATAATGTACTCGCCTGCAATATTTCTTCTAGCAACAAAACATTTTATAATGAGAAATATTAAATTGATTTCCGCTTTGTAAAATGCATGGAATGCGACATTACGCTTATTGGTCTATTTACATCCATTTTCAAATGTCATCAGTTTTGTTCAGTGAACTGAATCAACAATTGTGATGCCAGGAAGTTAATAGAATTGCTATATGGGATTAAAATCGATAATTGGCATGAAATAACGGTATAATTGGGAGAATGCCAAACACTGGCAACAGGGAAGGTGGACTAGACTATTAGACATATATGACCAAGCTTGTAAGCACTGCTCATGAGTGACCAAGAGGGATCAGTTATTGGATCGGATCCATGTGTTCGCTTGTGAACATGGAAATCAATATAGACAGAGAAAACTCTTTCCACTAGATTTTTAATCATTACAGGCTATTGGTTTTTATCTGCCTTAAATAAGTTTATATTAAGTTACGAATATTGTATTTTGCCTTATTAATCGGAGTCTTCCAGACTAACGTTTGTGTGTAGATTAGCGAAGGCTTGGATGTTTATCCGTCAGCAGTAGAATCATTATGTCTTTACTGTCGCTTAATCGGTTAGTGGGCCAGCTGGATGAATGAATGAGGGTCCATCAAAGGTTAATGAAACTGCAAAAGACAGTGTCTGGAAGCTATTAGTCTCTTTATAATGAGTAGAAAACTTGTATGTGCGTTAAACACTTGCGGAAATAAATAAAGGCTACTTGAGGTTGTAGATAATTGTTTCAATTGCTATAAATTTGTAGTCAGACGTTGTAGTTACTGTCTGTCTGTGTAGGAGGAGTGGGGACATAGAAACAAACCCCTATTTTGCTTATGCGAAAGCAATTTTGCCTTCAACTAATGAGAAATGTTTTGTAACACGTGTAGTCTGTGAAGATGGCTGTCGTCTGGGTAGTACCTCTGTGTAGTCTACTACCAGACTCTCAGCCGTGAGAACCTCAAATCCTTATGTGTAATTTTTCCAACTCATGTCGAGGAGAAAACAACTTGAAGTTGGCATATTTACTCACAATTAGAATTTCTTCAGCTACTTAGGAAGCCGATACACTAAGTTTTAAGACCAGTACACCTCCATACATGTTTAATTACCTAAAATAAGTTCTTACATACAGAAGCGATCATTTTCATACCACGCCTTTGATATTATGATAAAACTTTTGTCATATTAACTTGTATATTTTTCGTTACCCATTCTCATTTGTATTACGAGTCTTTTGCTGTTATAAACTTAAAAAACATCCAGTACAGTATTTACGAAGGAAACTCTGTTAATATTGAATGTTATGGAAGTGATAGACCTGTAATAATAATGTATTAAGACAAATTGCGTTATAAGGCCCTTTCTGGAGGAAACTTTATTATTCCTGATACGTCAGGTGAATGGACAGACCTTTTGAGAATACGTTGACAGCTCTCACAAGGGACCACATCCGATGATAACGCGTGAAGTTCCTTTAACATACATTATTCAATGAAAATAGCAACGGATGCTACGTTATGTGGCTGAAACATACCGGATGACAGCACAAAGGAAGTAGGATATTAATAGTTGTGGACTTCGGCTGCTTTGTATGGGGAAATGTCTTTCGGATGAAATTATGGCCGTCGTATCCAATAGTGTAATTCTGAGGGAAAGATTGGGCTTTCTGGTTTGTCGTTGTAATGGACGGAGATTGTTTGGGAAGGAACTATTGGTGAGAGGAAGTAACAGGAGAATGACAATTGTGTAATGAGGGACTTCGTAATCCGTACTATTCACCATATATATATCTGTCTTTAGTAAGTAATGCTGATTGGTTTGTTATCACTTGCTGTTACTAAAGAAGTTTTTGCCTTATGGGTTAATATTTATGTGTGTTATCACCGTTGCTGTGGTATGATGATAATTTACTGTTAAGGGATTTTGGGCTTTTTGGGATGATAATATTACCGTTGTCATGGTAATGCTGTTTATGGCGCAATACTCTTGAAGGCTGTAATTTTCATACTCGCCACGATGGTGGTAAAGACAGACACGGAAGAAGACGAAGGCTCAGATCAACTTGGGATTATTATTTAGAATACGCTGGAGCATAGAATAAGACTTGTTTGGAATGCGGGCAAAATCCAAGTTAATAAACGGAAATTAAATTGGTAGCCCTGTAACGCTTCACAAGAAATTATTTAGATTTTAGACCAGCAAATTCAGAGGCTGTGCAATTTGTTTTGGAACACCCGATATGCGTAGTAAACAATTTGTCATGCAATGTGCTGTATTAATTTTATGACAAGAAACACGAAGCTCGCAATGGAATGTCTACAACACATTAGAGAGGAATTATTGCCACCGTCAGGCCGCCACGTGCATTATAACTCCCGTTTTAGGTCTTGGTAAGCAGATGCGAAGCCACGGACTGTTAGTGGCCGTAGCAATTACACGACAGGACGATAAAATGTGCACGTTTTCTGTGGAGGTATTCCACTATGACATCAAGTTCTTCCTTACAAAAATAAATTGAAAAGTTCCCGTTAGTATACAGAAGCATGCTAACGTTTAAGATAGGTGTTAAATTATTCGAATATTTTCTGGCACCGAAATACATTTGTCTAAATGATGTAATTAGATTTTTTGTTCCTTTAATTTACAGCTGTTATTTTCTTAGTGTTTCATGTGCATGGTCAGTAAAGCAATTCAGTTACCCTGCGATGTAACGGGACAAATCCTAACACGCCCTCACCGATACCTGCACGTAGTTTCGTATGACATATTCAGTAATTTGTATGCATGGCTTTTTTTTGCATATGTTTGAAACATGTTTCTTCCATCATGCCGTGATGTGTCTGGCAAGCGTCCTATTGAGCGCGATTTGAAATTTTATCTTGCTCTCCGGTTACAGACTTTGTGACGGTCTTCCTTAAAGTTATCTTATTTCCTTTCTGTTTTTTCGTTCCCTCCACTCCTTATTCTTTATTGACAGTTTTGTCTGTATCTCCCTTTGTAGAATTTGAGGTTTTCACGGCGGTGACTCCGAAGATGGCTGTCTTCTGTTTTGTAGCGCCGTGTAGTCTGATGGAAGTTGATCAGAGGTCTTTGCTGCCTCCATCATCGGGGCGATGCGTGATGGGTTAACTTCTACCAGACATAAAACGTCGGTAAAATTTTACCAGATTACACGGCACATCTCAAAAGACAGCCATCTTCAAGGAAAAAATACTAACTATATTACTTGTAACGCTTTTATTTGAGATATTAGAATAAAACAAAACTTTTCTTATCGGAAGATACATCGCGGTAAGATCATCATCAGCAATGATTTCTGTCCTGAAAATTATACTGTATAGTTGTATCGAAACGTTAAATCGTCTGTCCTGATAAATAAGGTTCTAGGTTTTAGGTTGTGGACCAGAAACCGTCTGTCCTGAGGCACTTAAAGGTTCCACTTCGCTCACTTAGACACGAGAGTAGGAACAGTAGATCCAACTTCACCAACTCAGATTTCTTCCTCCCTCTTGAGCGATGTGATGTTTGGGATCTGAAGCTCTCACGGCGGTGAAAGTGTCGATGTTGTTCTGGATTCTGACGCCCGTGGAATCATACATAGACGGTAACGTCTCTTCTCTTCTTCATCTTTCATCCAAAATCAAACTCTGCTGCTGAAGTTATTAGACTTACCGGTGCTTATTAAGGTATACAGTGTGCCAACTATAGCGTTTTTAGATGTGTAGTCCAGTCTAAATGACGTAATGCAACCACTCCGGTGACTGGAGGCCTTCATAAGGCTGTCCGCCACGTTTAACATGTTTGTAAGTTGCTGCAGGGGTTCAGATACGCAAAGAAAGTTGGCAGCAAACTAATTTAAGTAATTTTAAAAATATAATTAATGCCTTTAATACGCGACTGAGGTGGAATAACATAGACGTTTTACTCACGTGACTGATGATCACAGCGTGGTGGTGATAGCTGCAGGGAACTCAGAGGTCGTGCATTTCTTAATGCTTCGTCTTCCTACTGGGACATTGCTGAGTGTAATTACACCTATAATGATAACGACAATTAAAGTATAGTCTCTGTCATAACATGGCTTGGGAAGGGAGAAACGTGTGTATAAAAATTCAGTTCCCTATTTGGCCTGCTTTTCAGTATTTTCTCGGTTTATTAATTTTTAAAGTTTTTAATGGCGCTGATTGAAATTCAGAGCATCAAAAGAGATAACACGACAATGAATTAGGTACGTACGCATTTTGAAAGAGGCTGTAATGGTTTTTTTTACATTATTCTGGAATTAGGTTGGAAACACTTAAAAATACCGTTGATGAACCTAGTAATGGCTCCCAGAAGACCGGCCCAGATTCATATTGAATACATATCTGGAGGGCTGCCTTTGCCACAGCGACGTAGGTCAGCGGTTTTTAAAAATTCGGCCAGCGATAAATTCTAAACGCAGACATTTGTCTTGCTTCTCCGCTGTACTAAACACGCGATAAGTTAAGATTAATGTTAGTTGTATGCTCGTTGAAATTCAACAGAATGTCTATTCAGTTGTTGTATGGCCTATAATGTTGTCATGTACACATTCAGCTTAGTTTAGTTATAACATTAATCCTGATCCACCAATACAAAAGATGGCGATAATTCCTACTTCCTAGGTTCTGGAATAAAATTTTATATCGGAGAGCGGCCATCGTGATGGGGGTTTTCGTATTGTCTTCGGTACCAGAAAATACCTATATAATACTTTAAATTAGGTCACGACCACTTTATTCTACATCATTTCTATTCATCATTAATTATCCTATCATTCAGTATAATATAATAGTGTTCTAAAACAGACGGCCTGCAGGCCACATCTGGCCTGAGACCCATTGTAACCAGGCTTGAGGTTTTATTTTATACTTGTTACTACAAGCTCATTTATTGTATTCACTCTGAAGAACATGAAAAAATAGCGATTATCTCGTTTGCTGATTTACGTATGAATGTCACACAATATATTGACTTCAATACCCTGCCGTAAAATACAAGTTTTCTGGGTAAAATTTGCTTCAGATACAAGCTGTTGCAAGTTAAATTTTAAAACATGATTGTACAGTAATTAGTGCACACTTTAATAAAATTTATATCTGATCACACACTATGGTGGTATGTCATTTCTAAGTATTGTTAAATACAACAAAAATTGGCTATTGATTTTAAAAAATACTGTCAGTTCTTGACAATCGGGTCCGAGGGAGACTATTGATTGGACCACCGTGCTGTATGATACAAGCACTTGGAGGCCTGGTTCAATAAATGGACAAGCTTACACAAAGAAACACAAAGTGCAAGATCGCATGCTCATGTACAGTTACTGACTTTTCTTTAGCGCGTTCGCATGTTTGGCCTCCTGGCAAATTTTGCGCTTGCAGATGTGTGTACCTTAACGTCTTGAGACGTCTTAACTGACATGTGAAATTACACTGCCAGAAACAAACACCCAATTATTTTTATACAAGCCTATAATTAAAAATAGTTTCTAGAAACGGGATATGACGTGACACATGTTCTCGTTTACTGACACCTGTGCAAGAGAGCCTTCCGGCTTCATAAATCGGTGGCTAGTTTCTTCTTCACAAAGATCGAAAGCATCACCCGGGAGTTAGGTTAGGTTTAATAGACAGGCGTATATCCGATCCCACACAATCGTTTTTTTTTTGTCCCGATTTTGCTGTTCGAATTCCATTTTGCCAAACTGCAATTAGATTGCTACATTACTAATTAGAGTTGACGCGATATAGAAATGCATTTTAAAGAAGTAACAATCAGAATACAGAGTAATAAAATTCCCGGATATGAAAATTCGCATTTTCTCCCCGTCTTTTCGTCCGTGTAGTAGAAACGTTAGATTTCTATTGCGAATTTTGCAATTAAACCGCCGAAGGAATTAGGTGTAGCTTTCCTGGAACTATTTCATTGCAAGTGGTCAATTGATTTTCCGGTACAGAGTTCGATATTTACACAGAAAAACCTCGCAGTCGCCGAGTCGTGATGTCGCAAATCGCTTCTCGACTTTTTTGCCTCTCTCTCTCTCTCTCTCTGACACACACACACATCCATGTAACATAACACATACTGAAATTTGCACAGAATATTCTTGTAGACCCTAGATTTTTTTGCCATCCTAGAACTGGTGCCTGGAATGGCTGGAAGGACTTCATTTTACATCTTGTGACCTAGAATAAAATGCGACCATACAACTGGGACACTCTTAAAGAGTGTTGGGGGAAGGCGAGTAAGGTAGAATCCCTGTTTTTTATGTCCGGCGAGGGAGCAGTAAAGTCAATATCCGTCTGACCCATGGTCGTCAATGTTCACGTGACGTGAGGTGTTCCCTCTTAGGCCCAAATATTATTTGAAGCATCCTGTTCTCGGACGACCTTAATCTGCGTTGAATTTATGTTACAGATGGAATTATTGAAGACTGCATTTAAGAGGCGTGGCGTTGTAAAAGGCGGTACTTGAAAGCAAGGGAAACGCAAACGATGATTGTGTAACAGTAAGAATTGTACGAACGGTGTCAACGAATTAAAAATATCAGTGTTATATAGTTTACATAACCGGTTATGAAAATAAATAGTAATCCGGTTATTGTCCTCAGTTGCTGAATAAGTCTGTTTCTCTTAACGAAGCAGCCAGCAAATCGCAATCTGTGACTGATCAAAACAAAGTCGAATCGTGAGATTTGAGATTTTCACGGCTGTGACGACAATGTTGATGTTGTTCTGGGTTTTGGCGCCAAAACCCAGAACAACACAATCGAATTACAAAGATCAGAAAGTTAATGTTGTGGAAAATAATTTTGTTCGTTCCGATGCGAAGCCCACAAATATTAAATGTTAAAAGCAGGTGGTATATATAGTTACCATTATGCTTTACAGGGTTAAAGTCATGGACGCGAGTGTGAACCTGCTTAGAAATTCTGTTACGTGTCAGTGAAACGAACAGTGTGTGGACAGTAATGAGATTTCAGGTTCTCATGGATGCTAGAATGAATGTGTGTAGTATGTCATGCAGTCTGGTAGAAGTTTGCCTACATTTCAGAGATGCTTCCTGCCTCCATCATCAGGTCGATCGCCCTGCAAGCACCTCAGAGACTGCATGACGCAGCAACACAGAAGACAGTCTTATTCATGTTTGTAGTCGGTTGTATGGTTCAGGTGGGTTTCAAATGATACTTAACTGTATCTACGCACCCAGTACATAGGAGTCAAATTCCTTCTTTATAGGGTGAGTATTAAATTTGAAAATATGTAGCGGTTTTGCGTAATTTTCCAAGGCAAGTACGTAAGATGAATTCAGATGCATCAGATTAGTTCTCTTTACTGCAAATGGCATAGAACGGATCGAAATGTTGTTCGGAAGATGAGTTTTCCTTTTGTTTCATTGTTATGTATTCGCGCCACGCTTTTAGCGTTAGATTCATAAGGTAGTTACGTCATGTCGATTGTTTGTGCTAAGTGTGAGTTGTAAAGCGATCTTGGTCTCTCAAGGCACTGTCCTTGAAATAGACCCGGGTAGCTGAGCATGTTTTCGTAGCGGTAACGCATCTGAATTCGGTTTTTTAGGCACGCGGTTCTCATCTTGTTCCTGTTAATGTCCAACCCTACTGAGAAGTAGGTTGTAACTTATAGCCCAAAGACTCATTAAGCAGAGGAAACGAGTTGCATTAAATGTGTTTTTTTATAAAACTGGGAACTTATGGTTTAATCGAAAACGTAATTTGGATGTAGGATTTAAGTTTTTCACGGCGGCGAGTTTGAAGATGGCTGTTTTCTGGGTCGTTGCACCGTCTAGTCTGGTAGAATTTTACGAACTTTTCACAAATACTTGCTGCTCTGATGATGGAGAAACTGTTTCGATAAAACTTATAACATGAAACCAGTTTCGTGCATTTGGTATCTCTGTATTTCACCTGGGTTAGAGTGTTACCCAAATAATGCACGAGTAAACAAACATGAACTCGAGAAGTCTCGAAAACGTACGTATGTAAATTTAAGTAGGTATTTTTATAAACCGACGTTAATTTAGATCAAAGAACGTCAGTCAGATGTGGGTTTAACCTGAGTGCGTAACCCAGATAGATGCATTGCTTGCTTCGCTCGTTGTTCGTGGAATGGACAGTTGCGTTAGGTGAGTACGGCCCTAGTGGAAAAGAACATTTAAGGCTGAATATTTGGTACCATTTATTCCGATCTGTAGCAAGTTATATACCCTTGGTTACTTAGGTTAAAATTTTAGCTCTTCAGAAAATAAAAGCATAACTCCATAGCTTGTTGAGAAGCCAACAATCCCTCAATTAGTCAAATATTCTCCGCATTTTATTAAAATTAAAGGTTTATTACCCACCACCAGTCCGTGTGCTGAGACAGACGAAAGCTGGCCACACTATTTGTACAAGATCCGTTTTAATATTATCCTGCCAATTATGTTGATATGTCCTTTTCAGGTTTTCCCATTAAAATTTTGTCTGTGTGTCTCATCTGCCGCCTATATAATTTTCCTTCATTTAACCACAGTAATAACGGGTGAAGATTGCAGATAAGGACGCTCTGTGCTGTGGAGTTTTTCTCCATCTTTTTGTTACGTACAAATATTCTCAGTATTTTGCTTTTAGACACCCTCAATCTATGATATTTGCATAATGTGAGAGACTACGCGTTATGTACATAAAACATAATCGGTAAAACGATAGTTTTGTGCACGTATTTTAATATTTACATTTATAAATAAGACTGGAAGACGAGGACGAGTAGTAGCGATTGGTAACTAGTTGTTTTCACTTACGAACACTGATGCCGTGTAACATCTGGTAACTATTGTTACAGAGAGTATTGATGTCATACAAGAACGTGGAACATGATCCCCTCAAATTGATCTCCGACTCCTGTTTCGTTGCGTATATTTTTTGTTGCATGAAACGTGTTAAGCAGGTTTCTTAAAAGATAAGTGACGTCAGCAAGAAATGCTCCCAATAATTTCATTTAATGCCTTTTTCAATG